AGAAGAAGAAGAAGAAGAAGAAGAAGAAGAAGAAGAAGAAGAAGAAGAAGAAGAAGAAGAAGAAGAAGAAGAAAAAGAAGAAGAAGAAGAAGAAGCAGCAGCAGCAGCAGCAGCAGCAGCAGCTGGCTGAAACTTTACGACATTTTCCACCACCGCAAATACCATGGGCAAGCAATGCCGTCTCATAATACTTTCCACTCTGTGTCCATCCTCATTTTCCTCCTGTGTTCTTCCGCAGGGACTTCCATCGTGTTTGACATGAGCCTCACCTACATCCTGGTGGCTCTGGTGGCCGTCATCCTCAACAACGCCCTGGTGGAGATGCTGAGTCTACACACCAGGATCTCCGTAGGTAAGCCGAAGCCCCCCATCGGCCTTCTGCTCTCTGGGTTTCACCGCAGTCGTCTGAGACACCGTCTCTGAAGCAATTCATCGGGAAGAGATTTCAGAAGAGAGTTGAGAGGTGATGCAGGGCGATGACTGAAGGGTCACTTCCGCCCCACGATCCCGGTTGGAGGCCGGGCCCTCGCGCCTTGCGTCCTTGGAATCCCGTCGCTGGAATAATTCCTAGAAATGATTCCTTGCCTATGACTTTTCATCCTGACTGATGGGTGACCTCACCTGTTGTCAGGCTTCCCCGCAGCATCAATGAAGTACACTCTTGCAGGAAGGTTTTACTTTTATTTGAAGCTATAGGTGCATGTACAGGATCACTGTTAGGAATGAGCGGGGAGCAACGAGCATGGCAGGTTATAGTACATTCAAACAACCGAGGCCCAATTGCGGGAGTTCCCCCGCGCGCCATCGGGACTGGGAGCAAACGCTTCTAGGCGGCATAACATATCTCCTTCCCACGGTCCTTCGTGAGATCACCCAAGCAACTATCTAGCAGCAACCACCTGTGGCCTTGAGAGATATAGACGTTCCAGCAGCCAAGCACTTAAGCGCATCAACAGGTCTACCTACGAAAGCGAAAGTAATCAAGCGCATACATGGAGAAAAGAAAAGGAATTTGGCAGCTTGCTGACACCTGTTGGGACTTAGACGCTGGACCGTTCTCCAGTATCCTGTCTCCACTGGAGGAGGTCCACCTCTCTTTCCATTTAAGACTTCCACGGCCAAGGCAAGCCAGTCTTAACTACCGAATGCTATGGTGACTGGAGGGGGGGGGCTGTCGACCAGTGTTCCCTCTCAACTAAGTTAGTGTGAGCTAGCTCGCGGTTTTATAGCCTCCGGCTCACGCCTTTCTGTCTTCGCTCAGGAAGGAGGGCTCCAGAGGAAACTAATTCATGCAGCAGCCCAATTGCTCGCTCACAACTTTTAATGCCAGTAGCTCACCAAGTAGACTTTTTGCTCACAAGACTCCACAGCTTAGAGGGAGCATTGCTGTCGACCTCAGCTGGACAGCCATCTGTCATGACCCCTAGTGGGGTTGCCACCTTCCTCTGCCACCACTCTGGACTTAGGGTCCCAGGCCCAGAGTACCCTACCAAGCTCAACCCAAAATGCCCCTTTTAAGCCAAGAATTATAGGCGTGATAACCAGGCAGAGAACATTATACAAATGGTTTATTAATACAGTAATGGGGCAAGGAAAACAAGATAAGGTGCTTAAAATATATAACAGTGTCTAAAGGCAAAGCAAACAAATCTAACGGGACTACCTATTTCTCTTAACTGGTTACTGTTCAAGGCCCACAGCCTTTTATACCAGGTCTGTGCCTGTAGTCACTCTGTCCCAAGTGAAAGATCTTTTCCTCAGACCAGACTGTCCCCTCAGTTTAAGTCTGTCAGAGAAAAGAACACAGTCCCCTCAGTTTAACTCAGTGAGAGAAAAGAACAGAGTTCCACAGTTTAGCTCTGTGAGAGGAAAGAACACAGTCCCCTCAGTTCAACTCTGTGGGGGAAAGACACACAAAGTTCCACAGCCCACAAAGCTTAAGTGACAATCTCCTCATACAATCCCTGGACACCGATCGGTTACAACCATCGCTAAGCATTGTGGGGATTGTAGGCTGTGTCAGCTTTCCGCGCCCTCTAGGCCTTGTCTCCCAGTCCTACACAGATCATGACACCATCAGATAAAACTCTCCAAAGGAGGGGGGGAAATGACAATAACTACATGCAATAGAAATGGGTGTGAGATAGAAAACGGGATTGAGGGGGTGGGGATCAGAGCTGAAAAAAAGGAAGAAAAAGGGGGAACTTGTCCTGATAGAATTTCTTGCAGGTTTGGCAGGGAGAGAAAGAAACAGAGAGGCTGTCCTTGGCTCCGAGCAGATGCAGCACCTACCGCCAGCTAGCTTGTTCTCTTCCCCTCTCGTTTGCTGCAGGGTATCTGTTTGCGTTGGGGCCCCTTCTCTTCGTTAGCCTCTGTGACGTCTGGCTGGAACTTTTCACCCGGCAGCACGCCTACGCCATCAACCTCATCGCGGTGGGCGTGGTGGCCTTCGGCTGCACAGGTATGTGTGGAGACGGGTCTGAAGCAGGTCATAGAGGGGGATCAGATAGGAGGTAATGGGACAGACCTCTGTGCCTGAGACCCTGGCTCAGAGGTAGAACATCTGTTTGGTAGGCAGAAGGTCCCAGGTTCAGTCCCCGGCACCTCCAGGTAAACGGATCAGGTAGGAGGTGATGGGAGAGACCTCTGTGCCTGAGACCCTGGCTCAGAGGTAGAACATCTGTTTGGTAGGCAGAAGGTCCCAGGTTCAGTCCCCGGCACCTCCAGGTAAACGGATCAGGTAGGAGGTGATGGGAGAGACCTCTGTGCCTGAGACCCTGGCTCAGAGGTAGAACATCTGTTTGGTAGGCAGAAGGTCCCAGGTTCAGTCCCCGGCACCTCCAGGTAAACGGATCAGGTAGGAGGTGATGGGAGAGACCTCTGTGCCTGAGACCCTGGCTCAGAGGTAGAACATCTGTTTGGTAGGCAGAAGGTCCCAGGTTCAGTCCCCGGCACCTCCAGGTAAACGGATCAGGTAGGAGGTGATGGGAGCGAGCGGCTGCCGGTCAGATTAGCCAATACTGACCTCGATGTACCTCAGGGTCTGATTCAATACAAGGCCGGTTCATGTGTCTTTATGTTTCCCAGCCCAGGAGCTGCATAATCTCGCTTCTTGGTCATGTCGTAAAAACTGCTGTCTATGTTCTCTCTTGTTTTTGTCTCCCTCTTGAAGTGCAGCAATCCAGTTTCTACGGCTACACCGGGATGCTGCCCAAGCGCTACACCCAGGGGGTCATGACCGGGGAAAGTGAGTTAGTTCTTTTTCCTAAACGTGTCCGTTCAAGAGGCCAGTGGCGTAGTCGCTCAGTGGTGCTGGCCGTCAGTGGGGTGAGAAGGAGATGCGTGTTAACCGAGGTGGGGTGGAGACTGAGGTGACTGAGGGGGGCTGTGGAGACCAAGCCAGCAGGAGGAGGTCGGTTTGGTGTCGTGGTTAAGAGTCGCAGGACTCTAATCTGGAGAGCTGGGTTTGATTCCCCACCAGGGATGGGCAAGAACCATGAAGACGCAGTTCGGTTTGTGGTTCGTCGTGGCTGAACCACAAACCGAAATATGGATCGAACCGGGAGGCTTGTTCACAGACGTAACTGGTTCATGATTCGTGGCTAGAGATGTGAAGGCCCGGAAAAAAACCTGAATAATTTGGAAAAAAACCGGTTTTTCCCTGTTTTTTTCCTGAAGCTTTTTTGTTTTTTTCCAAAAAATTGGAAAAATTGAAAAAAGAAAAGAAAAGGAAAAAAAATGATTATGGAACATTTTATTTTAACATGATGAATAAAATATTTTAAGACAAGGTGTTCAAATATTTTCCAAATTATTTCTAAAATATGGTATCAGATTGATCTAATTTCTGTGCACTGAGGCCAAGCAAGTCCTAGGTTACAAACTTAACTCTCCAATGCAAGAACAAGATGCATTTCTTCCTTTAGAAGGTGCGATTGTCAGAAGTAAATAAAAAGGGTTCAGTTTTGTATTTGCATGTGGGTGGGTATTCTGTTTGTAATAATTGTTTGGATACGCTATATCTTTAATAGGCTAGTTGTGATAATTTCATGCCAAGTAAAAATGTCCATAGTCATATTTTATGTTCCTAAAGTAACAGAATGACTTTCAATCTGGAAAAGACGAAAGAAGTGCTAATGTAGCATTTTTTTCAATTTTTCCGAAAATTTCAGTTTCCCGCGGAAAACCCCGGGGTTTTTTCCGAGCTTCAAAATTTCTGGAAATTTTACATCTCTATGCGTGGCCTTGCAGGAAGCCCGAGAAACGGCTGAGTGTGGGGAGCAGCTTGCCTGAAACAGCTCCCCACCACTCAGCTTTTTTTTGCAGCTTTCACAGGAAACAGAAATCAAGGGTCGGAAGGGACTCGGGGTCCCTTTCAACCCCTGCTTTGTGCTCCATCCACGAACTGCTCTAAAAGTCTGTGGAAGTTCGACCCTCACGAACATCTGTTCGCAGACCACGAACAAGGCAAAATTTGTGTTTTGGTCTGTGCCCATCTCTGTTCCCCACTCTTCCTCCACATGTAGCCAGCTGGGTGACCTTGGGTCAGTCACAAGTTCTCTCAGAGCTCTCTCAGCTCCACCTGCCTCACAGGGTGTCTGTTGTGGGGAGAGGAAGGAAAGGCAGTTGTAAGCCATTCCAAAGTCTTTGGGGTAGTGAAGGGCAGGGTATAAAACCTCCTCCTCCTTCTTCTTCGGAATGAATTACCCCACGGGTCCTCACGGAACCCCGCTTGGGCGCCTATAAATCTGTCCCTCTTTCAGTTGCCTCGAGACTCTTTGTTTTCCTGTCCCGTCCCATTCTCCTCCTGCTCGAAACAGCTGCGTCCCGCTGGGGACCAGAGATTTGGGATCGTTTGTCACGCTGGTGAGCTCGCAGCCCTTATGGGACGCAGCCGGCATGCCGATTAACCAGCCGCTAATTGATGGCCTCCGGAAGACGAGCATCAGGTGAATGCTCGGTCTGCCGGCTTGGAAATTGGTCGCCAGCCATCTTGAGGAAGGGGGGATTCTCAACACCATACAGTCTGAGCCGAGGCCACAGCCTTCTGCCAAGACCGAAAGCGATGTCTAAGCCCCTGTACTCGGCACGGGGAGACAGCTCAGAGGTGTGTCTGGTGTAGTGGTTAGGAGAAGCAGTAGCCAGTTTGGTGCAGTGGTTAGGAGCTCAGACTCTAACCTGGGAGAACCAGGTTGGATTCCCCACTCCTCCACATGCAGCCAGCTGGGTGGCCTTGGGTCAGTCACAAGTTCTCCCAGAGCTGTTCTCTCAGGAGCAGTCCTCGGAAGAGCTCTCTGAGCCCCATCAACCTCCCAGGGTGCCTGTTGTGGAGAGGGGAAGGGAAAGGAGATTGCAAGTTGCTCTGAAATTCATTTGGGTAGTGAAGGGCAGGGTATAAATCCAGTCTCTCCTCCTCCTCCTTCTGTCCCTCCCAAACCCCGCCCTCCTCAGACTCCACCCCCGAAATATCCAGGTATTGCTCAACCGAGAACTGGTTGCCGTTATATATTTTATCTATTTTATTCCGTAAAAAGCAAGCCTGGAAACATGGCCCAGATGTTTTAATGCGTGTTTCTGAATGTTTCAATAAATCTCTCGCTTTGCGTTCCCTCCGGTGACCCCTCCCCCCCCGAGGTGCTGACGGTTGTTTTTATCTTTGGTCCTTATTTAAAGCTCTGGTTTAACTTGTTTCCGTGCTGCCTTTGTGTGCTGGCTTTAATGGCTTTTGAGGAGGCAGGGCTATTTTGGGGCAGGAACGCACAGGAACGGCGTTCCGGCTGGCTCCCGAGCTGGCCACGCCCCGCAGGAACCACACGAGTTGGCCACGCCCAGCAGGAACTCATTAGCATAATAGGCCACACCCAACAGCAGAAACTCATTAGGGTTGGCTACATTCGGGGTGTGTGGCCTAACATGCAAAGGAGTTCCTGCTACCAAAAAAGGCCCTGGGTTTTGACAACAAACAAGGTAAACAGAATAACAAGCAAAAGGTGGGTGTGGCTGGATAACCACACTTCTGGTAACATGGGGGTGCGGTCTAATGTGCTAATGAGCGGTGCTGTCAGGGGTGTGGCCTAATAGGCTAATAGGTTTCTGCTGTTGGGTGTGGCCTATTATGCTAATTTCCTGCTGGGCTTTTTCCACAAAAAGAGCCCTGTGAGCAGGTATTTTAATGTGTGTGTCTTAATTTGTTGCCCGATCTCATCCGATCTCGGAAGCTAAGCAGCGCCAGCCCTCGTTAGTACTTGGGTGGGAGACCACTAAGGAAGCCCAGGGTTGCTGCGCAGAGAGGCAGGCCACAGCAAACATCCTCTGAACGCCTCTTGCTTTGAAAACCCCACGAGGGGTCTCCCTAAACCAGCTGTGACTTGACAGTAAAGAAATAAATAAATTGTTAGCCACCT